GAGGAGCACGTGAAGCAGCTTGAAGAGCTGGGCCTTGTTTGGAATGTACTTGATGAGCGGAGGGAACATGCGTTGCGAAGATTGGCAACCTACAAATCTGAGCATGGAGATGTGAATGTACCCTGGGCTTATGCGACGGATGAGGGGTTCAAGCTTGGAATTTGGGTGGCCAGTCAGCGCGCAAAGAAGTCTAAAGGGAAGCTTCCTGAAGAGCAAGAGAAGCAGCTTGAAGAACTGGGCTTTGTTTGGAGTGTGTTTGATGAGACGTGGAAGCACACGTTGGAAAGACTGGCGACCTACAAATCTGAGCATGGAGATGTGAATGTGCGCTCAGAATATGTGACAGATGACGGTTTCAAACTTGGATTTTGGGTGGCCAGTCAGCGGAGAAAGAAGTCTAAAGGGAAGCTTCCTGAAGAGCAAGCGAAGCAGCTTGAAGAACTGGGCTTTGTTTGGAATGTGCTTGGTGAGCAGAGGGAACGCGCGTTGCGAAGATTGGCAAATTACAATCTTGAACATGGTGATGTGAATGTGCCCTGGGCGTATGTGACGGATGACGGCTTCAAGCTAGGAGTTTGGGTGGCCGGTCAGCGCAGAAGCAAGTCCAAAGGACAACTTGCCGAGGAGCACGTGAAGCAGCTTGAAGAACTGGGCCTTGTTTAGAATGTGCTTGGTGAGCAGAGGGAACGCGCGTTGCGAAGATTGGCAAATTACAATCTTGAACATTGTGATGTGAATGTGCCCTGGGCGTATGTGACGGTTGACGGTTTTAGTCTTGGAATTTGGGCCAACTATCAGCGGACAAACCAGGCTAGCGGCTAAAGGAAACTGACCGAAGAGCAGGTGAAGGAGCCGGAAGAATTTGGCTTTGTGTGGCAGGTGTATGATTTGCGTTGGGAAGAGATGTGTGTCAACGTCTCGTGACCTAGAGTTCTGAGCATGGAGATGTCAATGTGCCGCAAAAGTATGTGACAGATGGCGGGATCAGACTTGGACTTTGGGTGCACAACCAGCGCAGAAAAGAGTTCAAAAGCAAACTCACGGAGGAGCAGCTTGGCTTTGTTTGGAGCCTGTGACCAAGCACGAGTAGATGCAGAGTCTTTGACAGAAACTTGCAGGTCGCACCATTTCACACTGAGGTTGGCGGCACAAGTGCTTAGTGACATAGCAAGTCCCGCTCTTGAAAACTGGGGAAGTTGGCGGATGCACCTGGGTGCCTGAATGCATAAGGGTTGGCATGTTCCTCGCTAGTTCTGTACCAGTCCGGTGTTTATGCATTGTGCGAGTCAAGTGTACATTTATACATTGTTACATTGATGTATCCTATGCACTATCCATGATAGTATGTGTTTAGCATCGAAGATGTGCTGCAATGCTGTTGGCATGCCAGAACTTGATGAGTTGTCTCCAAACAATGCAACATGGCTAACGGTCCCTTGGCTGTAAGGAAATCCACGTAGAAATGCCATGAAATGCCCTACCAAGTCGAATCCCACCAACGGCGACTGGGTTTGGATGGACAACATGGGTAGAGGCAAAATAATTCTTCCTCATGAGTCTATGTTTGTTGTGGGGAGAGGACTGATACAAAACAAACAAACAACAAGTTGCCAGCTAAGGCCCACCTTGCACGGAGCTGCTTTGCATTCACATGCGTCCACGGCGATAGCCAGGGAGGTGTGGATTCCTACTTAGCTTTGACTTGCTGCGCGATGCGCTAGGTCATTCACGTCACCCGTGGCAATATCTCGACTTGGCCTTAGCGTTTACATTCTTCGGCGCTGTAAGGGCGGACGGGACTAGGTGTGAGATAGGCAACCACGAGAGCGTTCGCTCAATTTGCAGCTCCGAAAGGTTGCACAATCGACGGTTTTGTCCTTGTGCTTGGGATTTCAATTGGCTCAATTAGGGCTTATAAGGAATTGTAAGTCAACCGTCCAATTTTGGATTCTCATCCCGTGTTTAGGGAGAAATCCGCCGGCATCTCAATTCGTTTGTGAATCCCCTTGGGGCCAGGCACAAGCCTCTCCATCCTCCCAGCCTGTGCTCGCGGAAGGCAGCGTATTTGGGCAGCCTGAGGTGTTTCAGCATGTTCATTGGTGTGAGCGGCATAGCTTGGAGTCAAATGCAAGTCTCTTTGTTTAAGTGTTAATTGAGTTCAATCTACGGATCACAATTTCAAAAGAAACTGCTGCTAGGGTGAGGTAGTGGGAATTGGGAATGCCTGAGTGGAACCCAATCATTGAGCTCATGTCCAAGACCGGCAACCTTAAAGATGATACTGGGTCAGACACAACACATATTTGACCTTCAAACCTGCTTCAATTTGTGCGGGTTCTGCAACTCTTGATGATTTTGGACGGTTGTGTTGTGTTTTGGCCATCTCACTTGAACTCACTTGAAGGCGGATCAAAGCACTCCGCTTCCTCTTCGAGCCCTTCTGGGCCTGCGACACTGGCAGAACACTGGGCCGCCTGGCAGAAGCACAGAACCCTTTGGTGGGTTTCCCTCAGCTTCCAATTGAGAAACTCACCTAGGGCTGCCGAGACCCATGTGTGCTGGCGTTTCTATGGCGTTTCTTTTTCCACCAGTCGCTCTTTCTTCTTGTTGTCACTCGGTTTGGGTCACAAAAGCCACGCCCGTGCTCTCTTTGCTCCCAGGTTATGATCACCATCGAGTAAACCCGTTTGGACGTGGCTTGTTGACCTATAATATCGGGGGCACTTAGAGCAGCAGTAGAATTTGTTGCAATTTCGTTCAGCAGAGATGCTCGATTCTTATTCCACGGAACTGTCGAAGCATTAGCTTGTGACCTTCTTACCATAAATACCTGTGAAGACATTCTGCCACACTGCGCTACCACATTCAAACATACCCCTCCATTCCCCTCCCCAATTTTCAGTACCATCATCATCATCATCATCATCATCATCATCATCATCATCAAGCTCCCTGCCAACCACTCCCACCACCGCACCCACATTACACACCACACGGTAGTGCCACCGCTTCCACTGCCCACCCAAGGCTCGGCTGCGGCGGCAGACGCGGGACGAGGCACTGGAGCTGAGCTTGGAGCGGCGCCAGGACAAAGGCATTTGGCGGCTCGCCGCAGGCGGGGAGTTGAGACAAGAGGAGCAGATGAGTACAGAGGCGGTGCATTGGTGGCATCATTTTCTATCATTTTCTTATATGTTCTTGGGAACTGATGATTACAGAGGTGGTAGTAGAGGTGGTACCAATGTGGTACCATTGTTTGTATTGTTGTGCCATTAGGCTTGTTGGAAAGGCATAACAAGCCGGTTGTTTGGATGCACTGCGGCAATGGTGACCGGCCACACATGTTGTCGTAGGAGAATTAAGAGTTGCTTGTTATGGCATGCCACACGAACTGTGGGTCTTGATGGGCCTTCAGTGTGGTGGGTGAGCAGTGCCGGCGATTGGTTCCAAACCTTTGGCAGGCGAAGGCCTGGACTGGCAGCACATTCGCAACGAGTTCTACACTGCGCAAGTGCAGTCCTTCGCAGAGGCCACAGTGGGCTACATGGATGGTTGGTTGCAATTGTTTTGATCGACACGGAGAGGACGGCAGCTGAGAGTTGTCAGTTTTGGGGTTTCTAACGAGGCTTTTATATAGATTGCTTCAGGTCGTTGGAAAGGGTGGCCTGGCAAAGGATTGGCAGCATGTTTGCATGCAAACTTGTGAACATGGAGCATCATGAAACACCATGCAGCAGGGAGTTTGCCAATGGCAGGTTAGCCTCGATGACTGCATTGATGCTCATGCGGCTTCCAGACAAGAAGGCGGCAAAAGATTGGGTTTGGAATAGGAAGCTTACCCATACCTTCTAGTGTTCCAATTTTGTCTAGACCGACTGCAGCAATACCTGTTCTGCAGCAATCATTGATTTCTTTGAGGTTCATGACAGGTTGACTGCCAATTTGCAATTCCTCTTTCTTTGTCCTACTATAAGCCATGCTGCACGAATTTCAGAAGCCAGCAAGATGTCGAATCGGAATGGAGAAGGCTATGGATCTCCCACCAAAGGAACGCGCGTTTGCACAAGTGAGACGGGGACAACAAAACAACAAAATCCTCATCACCACTAGCAACAACAGGAAGATTAAGATGGAAGAAGAACAAGATGAATAATAGTAAGCAAGTGTAAGAACTGAAACCAACAAGACCGAACAATTGTGCTGGAAACGTGTCCTTGTCGCACCGCCAGGTCTTCGGCTGTTGGATCTGGGCTGCGGTGTTGGCGCTTTGTTGGCCCGTCTCAGGCCAGCAATGGGTGTCGCATATCAGTTGTTGGATCATGAAATGTTTTGGCAAGTGCGGCACGTATGTATATTATGTATTCACTTAATTTGATAACAGGAGACAACAGGAGTCACAAAACACTTCAGTGCACGCAACCAGAATCAGCACACACAGATCCCCGACCACTGCCATGGACGGTTCCGACGAGGCGTGAGCGTGGTGAAGTCATTGACTGGCCCTGCACTGCTGGAGTGACCTCGGTGCATCCCTTCGACGTCTCCATGTTTACGCCACCAGCAGGCGTGGAGGTGGTGGGAGTGTGGGAGTGTAGGTGTGTGGTTGGTGCTTGAATGTGCTTGATTGGGTGGATGGTGGGGGTTGACAACTAGTGGGTGCGTGGTTGATATTATGTACCCTCGTGGGCGTTTAGTTTGATGTGTGGGGTGCTGGGATGGTGGATGTTTTATGATAAAGCTTCTGATTTGTGACAGTCTTGGAAAGTTCTGTTGCCCACACACCTTTCAGGACTTGGGATGTCCATCTCACGTTTTGCCCATTGTTGGGGGGGAAACACGTTGGATGCTTGGTGCGGGTTGGTGGGGGGGGTTCGCTGGAAAGGTTACCCGGAGTTCTTTGAAGCGCAGTTGCTCCGTTTCAACCTGGACTTCCTGGCGGATCACGCTGACACGCCTGCCGTGCCTTGGTCGAAGCAGGGGGCAGAGGAAAACTGATTTTGGTAGTTGATAAGTTGATAGGGTGAACCGTTTTTCGCGACTTACTCGTACCTTTCATAGAGGCATGTTCATAATCACCTTAATGGTTGCCACATCTTACAGACCAGTTGTCATGCAGACCTGTTCACGGTTGATCACAACGGCTTTGCTAGCAAAAGTCCGCCTCTTTGTGTCTCAAAGCTCGGATCTTGCCATCCCCCTGCCGCAGTTTGCCAACGGATTTGAGGATCTTGCGGGAAGGCGGTTTGATCTCATCACCTCGCACTATTGCAGCTTGGCATGGGCTATTTTGAGCGTGGAGGACCATCGTGGCAGATGGGATGATCAAGTTAATCAAGTTATACTGATTTGTGAAGAGCGTTCTATAGATACCTCGATATGGATCCAGGCAAAGAGCCTGGCAGACGATTGCTGTAAATGCATGACAACACCAGATTGCATGACAGAATATGGCAAACTTTGAAGAACGGACAAGAAAGCACTGAAGAAGAGATGCAAACTATCACAAGACACCAACCACTGTGGCAAACACAAATCACCCCGACAAGTGCAAGCAAGACTCTACCTCTATGACCTAAGAATCGCTAATCACACGGACATGTTTCGGAAAGAGTGTTGCAAGCTAGTTGTTCTAAGGTTGGTGTCACCTCCAAGATCCCTTGGGAGCCTTGGTTTGTGCCTTCGGTTTGCTTCGTGCCGGTGGCATCCTGCTCTTCTTTGAGCCACTCCATGTTGCGCGGCATAAGCACCTGGTGGGTGGTGATGGAGGGATTGGGCTGGCCCAGGTCGTGCAATTCAGTTGCCGCAGTTGCCAAAAGTGTGCATCATAATGTTCAATATTACTCTGTTGGTTACCTTAGCCCTATTGTACCAATCCCTTCCACCTATTAAAAAACACGAGGCCCCCCCCCTCCTAATAAGGAAACCTCGGTCGCATTTTTCAAATAGGGGTCCCTGAAATCGGGGGGTCCAAAATAGGGTCACCTGCAAAGAGTTTCAAAACAAAAAAGTAATCCATTAAAATTTTATATAGAATCCTTTATTAAACTCGTATCAAAAATTCAAAAAACCTCCATATCGAAGGGTCTTCCTTTTCCCCTACAAAAACCTTCATTAGAATAGTGATTCTTTAGTAGACTAACAGCTAAAGCTTTTGAAAGGTGATGTCGCTGTGCCATGCGGTGTTGCATGACCTCGGTGGCAAGTGCGTTTGCGTGAGTCCGTGCCATTGGGGGAAGGAAAGCCTGCTGGTGTAAGCGCGGCGTGTCATGGTGGATAGACAGGGCGGACAGAGGTGGGCAGTTACGGTTGTTTTTGGAACCTAATAAGAAAACCCCCTCCAAAATCGGCCATGTTGGTAGTTTAGTAGCGGCTTGAAAGGGCGGTAATTTAAAAACAAATATAAACCGTATTTAGGGGGATCCGACAGTTTTAATTAGGCTTTTCAATAGGTACTCGGGATTAGCTTTATCTAGCTGTACAACCAGCGACAGTGGATCCCATGCTTTCAAGTAGATGTTTGTGTTGAAACATGTCATGCAATTGAAGAATGAATGGCCCAACCCTGGTGGCTAGAGGTCTGCAGGCATAGACGAAAAGAGGTTCCTCCTTGGGAAGCTTCGGGCAGATGTGGCGGCACGCTCATTGCAACGCACATGAAGACTCAAAATTACTCCTTGACCTTTTGCAGCCGGACATCAGCTTCCAAGCGCTTTGATGTCGTGCAACTCAAAGAACATGTGCAACTACCCGATTTGGATTTTATCATGATGAATCACAAATCCTCAAGACTTGACTTTCAACTCCCATATTATCAATGGTTTGCAGACTCTGGTCACTTCTTGATTTGCAAGTATGAGCTCAAACCCCTAACTTTACTAAGGCACCTTCCAACTCCTTGCCCTACACGGATCACAGGCAGGCTGCGGATATAGCACATGTAGCTCTTTGCAGGTGGACATTATTCTGCTTTGTCAGTTTTTTTGCAAGAGTTTGGAGGCATTTGAGTCAGCAAATCAACAACTGAGAGGTTCCTCGAATTCAGGGGTGTTCGATTATTTATACGTACAGGTTGTTCATTTCATATGCTCTAGACACCTGTATAGGCACCAAAGGGTGTCAAGTCTCAAGACAGTGTTTTGTTCAATGTTCTTTTGCCCATTGAATCATGCATTCCAATCCTTAGTTCCATTTGGCTGCAGGCTCTACCATTGGAATGACCAGGGTGAGTCCAAGCCACTCTTCATGCGACAGCTCCTGCAGCACTGGCAGCAGGCACGGCAGCGGCAGGCTACCGTTTTGCGATAATTTGACGAGCCGTTCATACAAGCGATAGACCTCGGGCGAGCCAATAAGGATTTGAGTCGTCCAAAAACCCACATAACGACATAACATGACATAACAGATTTTGCAGATAGTGCTGCAGAAGCGGCAGGGGACATTCCATGCAGCCTCTCGTGGCATCGCCTGCAGGAGGTGGCAGTCTTCTCGGCGCTGGAGCGAGGCCAAACCGATTTGATGAAGCCCAAACGATTGATACGAAGCAAAGATGAACCTCGCAGCACAAGAAATGTACCGTTTTACACTTGTGGGCAGGTCATGCTTACAGAGACTGAAGAGAGCCTGCTCAAGACGTGCTGAACAAATTTCATGAAGCCATTTAGCAGTAACAGTATATGATTAGAGTTTTCTCCCATATCTAGTATCACCTGAAAAGTTCCGACAGGCGAGTGCAGGCGTGCTGTTTTTGCATAGCAGTGCTTGCTTTCCAGGTGAGGGTGACCGCAAGCATGTGCTAGCGCTCCGAAAGCATGGGGAGAACCAGCAGCTGAGCCTGCCAGCGCCTTGGCCAGAATTTGGTCAGCCTAGACAAGGATTTTATATGTAAATGTAAATCAAAGGCCGGAGTCTTACCACGGTAGTACTTCCCAATTAGTTGTTGGGGTCTGGGTGGGACGGGCCAGTTGCACCACACACCCTAGATCACCCTAGTCTAGAGGATGCTAGAGGCAAGAACTATCTCAAGGGAGCAACATGCAATGCGGCCAGGGTGGGACATGATGACTTAGATAGGAACTGTGACTTGGTCCATTCTTGGGTGTCATGTCCCTTGTTGGAGGTGCATTCCTATTTCTGAACCTTTCCAAAAAGTGTCCACACAACTTTCCAGGACTTAGCAAGACCCTACCTCGAAGCCAAAAAGCGGGTCTACCTGGAACACAGATCTCAACAAGTTTAAGCTATACTATATGTTTGTTATTGCTTGAAGCAATCAACTCGGCTCACTAACTAACTAACTCACTCACTACTGACTGAATACCTCACTGGCTGGCTGGCTGACTGACTGACAAACATGTTTTGAGAAACCAAGCACCCTTCGCCCATTCCATCCCTTGCCCGACCAACCGGAGGCTTCCGTTTGCCCGGGAGCCACCGCTGCGCCGCTGCCGGCGGTGCGAGAGGCACGGCTCAGATGTGGGGATCAGGAGCCCTTCGTCACTTGGCCCAGCAGTGTTCGACCGCCAAGGCTTCGACAGCTTGGTGGGTTGCAATGGTTGGTTGGTTGGTTGGTTGGTTGGGACATCCTCAGCAATTCAGAAATCGGCCTAAATAGTCTCACAGATCCGTGGGCTCTAGCAGTTCGGCATCAAAACTCACAGCACCGGCAATGGTTTCCTTTTATACATGGAAATGGGAGGCTTCCCCAAGTTCCGCGCCGGATGACGTTTCAAAGAAAGATCAAGACCCACCACATGCACCTGACCTGACCACACCCGCGCTTGCGCCGGTTCCGCAGCAACGAGGTGACACCCAGTGCTCGGAGTTTCCCGGAGTGGCTGCAGAAGGCCAAGACCCAACGGCTGCAGAGAGTAGCACTGTAGGAAGCTCAGCCTAGGCCCAAGACGGGCGAAGGCCAAAGATGAGCCAAGGTTGTGGATGCTTTTTCGTTTGTGAGGGCTCATTGGTGCCAGTGTCATCCTTTTTTTAAAAAAATATCAAACATTCAATTTGTGTAAGGATGTTTGATGATAGTTGAATATGTTCGATGTTATTGCACAGCGATTAATAACCTTGAGCCATGCCATCACCCATTTGAAGGTTGACCGTGGATGCCTGCCGCCACAAATTTAGAGCGCAGCAAAAAAGCCGAACGGACAGCAGCAGAAGTCACATGACAATTGAATACATAAATCTAATTGTTCATCATCTCTTTGTTTCAGGCATGTCTCAGACACTTTCACAAGCTCCAATGCATTTCCTGCAGAACACCAAAATGTTCCCAAAAGCGACGTTCTGAGGACATGATGATTCCAATGGCAGTGACCTCAACACCGGTTGCCCGTGTGCGTCGACCGAGCAAGTCGGCCATTTCGCTTGGTGACCTCCTCCATCAACAGCATTGAAATGAGGAAGCAGTTTTCCTCCAAGAATTGCTCTCCCTGGAAGTAAGATGGAAGTGGAAAACCACCTGCTTCTAGAGGAACATGGTCTTCCGTACGGGGCCATGCATGGCCATGCCATCCACTTAAACATGTTAGCTGTTCTAAGACCAACAAGCTCCCAGCAGTTCACCGACCCGCGCACCTTGTAGGTCCAGCTTTGAGAGGAGAGCTGGTGAGCAAACGATTCCGACAGGTGCTGGCTTATATGATGCATAAATCATTCGATCGCTGATCCTGGATCTTTTTTGAGACTGATGAATGCTGCCGCAACCTTCTCCCATCTACAAAACCAGCCCAGAGAGGCAGACATGTGGCACGGGTTGGTAGATCCAGGTAATTGTGTTCGATGTTTGTCTTTGTATTCACTACGACCCAGGTCCTGGTCTCCTGCAAGGACTACGGCAGCGATGCTGGAGCACTTAGTGCGAGGGATGGGAACCGGAGTGCCCTTCAAGTGTCCTGTTACATATGTATAGAGTGTGGAATTATGTAGACCCTTGAGCATATAACAAGATGTTTTTCTTGTGCAAACCAGGTGTTCAGTAAATTCATATGTTTGTGAAATTGTTGGATGCACAAGAAGGGCAATCCCCTCTCCACAAACTCGAGCTTGGATACCTTTCTTTATTGAAAAACAAGTGTGTGTGTGTGCCACGGTCACAGTACCAACATGTGCCCTTGAACAACCCAAATCACCAGAAACAAATGGTTCTTCCAACATGGCTTTACTTGAGATCCTTTACATAACTGGTTGGGGTTCCATATTGGTTCCATCCATTTGTTTCTGCTTCAGCCTGAGCAAACTTGCAAGGTCCATCACATGGATATCTAATACTTTAATATAGTGAGACCCCCGCCTGTGGCCCTGGCTGGGTAGGCTGGCCGTCTCGTCTCCCTTCTTCCAGCCACATCCGGACCGCCATACCGCCGTGTCCCTCCGGGACTCGCGACGGGGGACGAAGAACGAGGTCGCGAAGCTGGGTCCGGGCGTGGCCGCCAACAGCTTGCCCGCCAAAGCCAGTGAGGCGGGTCGGAGTTGTCTTCCGGGCCGACCACGTCTTCAGACGTGGGTGATGGATGGTGATGGGTTATGTTATAACGCATCGGTTGTCACGGTGGGTGTCACGGTGGAGAGAGAGGGTTTTGGAAAGGAGATCAACAAGAGCTAGATGAGAAATCTATGGGAAGTCTGAGAGTTGTACAGCTCAGTCTCCCAACAATTAAGAGCTTGTTGGACATTCAAGGGCCAGTTCACACTTCTAACATTGCCGCTGCGATGCGATCGCTGGTGAAGCCGTTGATGGTCAGGGCGAAGTGGGCTACGACATCACTTCAAAGGCCCAGCCAGCTTCTGGAGGGATTGTTGTGGTGTGGGGCAGTTCTGGGAAGTGTTGGACCACAGACTAGAATATATAGATACAATTTTTGTGACTGGCAAAGTGCTCTTCTTTGTGGTCTTTTGTGTTCCGTTGGGGGCAAGAATCAAAGGCAAAAAAAATGCTCGTTGGTTTCCCACGAATGCCACTGTTTGTGGGATTGCAGTACCTTGAGATTATGCCAGCGAGACTCTTGCACCCGCTTGCACCCCTTCGGTCCGATCTGACGTTTCACCGGCCTAACCCTCCCCCGTCCGAACTTCTCCCCCGCCACACCGGTCCCAGCCGCAGGTGCTGTCGGATCCTCGGGGCGCCTTCCTCTCCCAGCAGTCCTTCATGGACGCCATGAAGGCCCCGCGGCCGCGGGCGCCGCAGCCCAAGCGGTCCCAGCCGCTTCGGAAGCGCCGCGGGAAGGTCCCGGAGCTCCTCCTTGCTGGACCGTCCTGCGCATGTGCGCGCGGCGTTGGCGCGGCGACATGTCATGGTTCCCTATAGAGGTGTTGAGGATGTATTTTGTTGTTGGTTTGAAGTTTTGTTTGTTTTTCCCCCAGGGCACATGGCAGAAACCCAGTCGGCCTTGGGAATGTTTTCTAGGTTTCTTTGGCATGGTATACCTGACCAATCCTCAAGGCCAAGTGAAGCTGCACTCAGACCATCAACCAGCAAAAACCCTGAAAGCCACGCAGGCGAAGGGGAAGACTGCAGGGTTGCCCAGCTGGATAGTCCTTTGCCGGTGCGCACTGAGCAAGAGGGAATGAAGTCTGCAAGGTGAGACGGTGGTTGCGTCCATGTTCCTCTATATCCTAGTGGATCCTAGTGATTGTGCGGGTCCATGTCAGTCTGCAGGAGGGTGTATAAGCTTTGTGTGTTGTGTTCCATTTTGACGGAGAGCCGTCCCCGGGAACAGAGCCGTAGGCCTTCGCGACACCATCCATCAAATACCTGGACCCGAACCCACGCAAATTGTGCTTATTACATTTTGTTACTAGTACTTAGTCGAGAAAAAACAAGTTGATTTGATCTGATGGTGCAGATGACTCCCGAGTCATTCTTGGCGCTGACGAAAAGGTGGGCTTCTACAAGCTCATTTTTGAGATTGGGGATTTGATTGACAAGGCTTCAGCAGGGAAGGCACGCAACAGCTCCGACATGCTACAGTTGAGTACTCAAGAAAGTGTACGGTTTGGCAGGTTTCAAACGCTTGTTGCCGTTTGTTTCTGTACATGTGGTCAGACAAGTCACTTGAGTTCTGAGCCCAGTTTTGAGTATCATTGCTAGAAGACTTGGCCCAGATCTCTCCACATGTTTCCTGTTTCAAAGCCTTCTGGGTTGTCACAACACAAGCTTTCAACACAGTTCAAGGCTGAGTTCATTCTGGGTGTCACAACACAAGCTTTCAACACTTGTCAAGGTTCATATGGTTTAGCATAGTGGTTTTAGCATCATATTGGTTTCAACACAGTTCTACGGACTTCTCTTGGCCTCTTATGTCTTTCTCTCTTCATCATCCATGGGATTCCATGAGCACCTTCGCAGACAGCGGGCGCCGACGCGCCGCTTCTGTCTAAAGGGCTGGGTGGCCCAAGAACGCTATGCTCATGGTGGCCGAACACGGGCGGTCCGGGCAACGGTCCTACCCATGTTAGCCAGCAATCGTAGATCAGTCAATGGTCTACTATAGCACCCTTCTACTATGTAGCACCCCTTGATGCCAGCGCAGCAAGCAGCAAGACCACCACAAAGTTTAACAACAACTGGCTAGACCATGCTAGGCTGCCTTCTCATAGACATATATATATATATAGTTTTATTCTTTTATATATGTCTGCCAAGCGCGTTCCCAAAGACAGCAACACAAGTCCATCATGTCGATCAACCACCTGGAACCCTGTCCCTGCGCTGGTGGCGCAGCTGGTCGATCAGACCATATCAGACCCGGAATAAAACACCGAAGCCGCTCCGTTGGATGGGACAGTGCTACCCGAGGCATAGAGCCAAACACTGAAGTGAGTGGAATCCAAACACGCCCTTGGGGATGGAGTATATCCAAGATGAGGTTGACTCCAGTAAGGCGAGGAATGGGGTGTATCCACACATGCGTGCACGGGTCTTAAGTACTTGAAGTGAGCAGCTTCACACCATTTGTCGCTGGAAATCACTCCACGAGCAGCTTCCTTGGTTTGTTTTTTCCATGAATTGCGCCCCATCACGTCCACTTTTGCATGCCTTTTCATTGAAACCGTCCACTTCGGAAAACTATGGAAAAGCCAATACGATCAACCATCTTCAACCCCTATACTTCGGCTCGCACCCCTTGGGGGCGCTCAAAGCTGAGGCCCTTGGGCTACGAGGTGCAAGTGCGAGGCGTCTCCTCCACCTCGCCCAAGATCGTGTTGCGCCTCTCGGCGGCTGCACCGGCGCAGTGTGGTCAGGTACTTTGGTGGGTTGGTTCAATCGGAGTGCGACGCGGCCAGTGCTGCAGGTCCTCGAAGGCAACCAGCACCACCCATTTCTGGTGGAGATTGGAAAACAGATATGTAGTCAGGGGGGTTCTATAATCACCCTTTGGGTGTTGCTGGCAAATACACCTTTGCTCGGTCCCGCTGTGATGCCACCTTGCAGTTTGCTTTTTCGGGGCAGGCCGCAGATAGGGCACTCTGGTTTCAAAGTGTGTCAAAGCCTACTTCCAAGAACAGCACAAGCGATGAACTAAACCAACAAACTCTGCACCCTAAACTGTCACTATTCTTAGTATCCTTTTCCCTTATCGGGTTGGTTCAGTCCTTACAAGCCAACCACAGTTCTATGGAAAAGCCATCACTCGGTAGTCGCGGATGGTCTCCCGGTCTTCCCCTTCTTCTCTCTCTCTCTCTCTCTTGGTCGGCTTCCAATGGCAGTTGGGTGCCAGGTGACCGTTTGCACCGGCACCTCTTGTGGATGTGGGCCATGGACCTCCCACACCGACGTCCGATCGAGTTCACCGAGGTGCTGCATCTGCCCAACCACTACCTACAGGGTGGGAGTCTTTGTCCAAGGCACAGCCCACCGGGTGTGTTGGGCGAT